ATTAAACTTTCCCTTAAGTAACCTTTTTATGTTTTCTTTCTCTCTATTTGGCATTAATCAAATTTAATAAATATAGTGATAAAGAAATTAAACTGTTTCGACATTTTTGGAGCTGGTATACAGTATCTAAGCATTTTCATCTTCTCTTGTACTCTGCTGTGGTGTCTGCAGACTGTCTTCCTCTGGTGTTTCAGCCAAAAGGTGATGGATGTCTCTGGCCACCTCTTAGCTCCCTCAGGGGAATTTCAAAGAACACTTGACACTATCGGAGTCAGCAGGCCTAAGAGAAAAGATAATATTTTCTTATGTTTTCTTTTATCAGCTGTCTAATGTTTTAGACCTTGTAGAAAAAGTTGCTGGTTTGGTTAATTTATTGTTCGCAAAGTGTGGAATTATCTTTGGTCATTAGGAAAAACATCAAGATCATAGCAAAGCAGATTTGTGTTTCTGGCCCCCTGACAAATGTTAAGTTCGATGTTCATTGTCTTTCTGGTTCTGTTTTTGATCTCCATCAACTCTTGAGACATATCTGGCTCTCTTTCTTTTTAGCTTTTTGACTGATAATAGCTTTCTGTTACTGGAAACAAGCTTGATGAAAGTGGTGGGACTAAAAACAAAAGTTGCAGGCCAGAAAACACATTAATGACCTGAAAGAAGCTAAACATTTTGTTGAGCTGAGGGGACCTTCAGTGTTGGGTGATCATTTTGTATTGGTTAGTCTACGACCGATGCCCCTTCACATTACAAATAGTAATTTGATCCATTGTTAATACAAAAGCATTGATTACTGAAGCTTAAAATCTGAGTTGAGCAATGTTTCAAGTCCACAGCTGCGGTATTTAGCCGTGTTTTAGCAGAACTATTAACAAAGTCACAATTATAGAAAACAGAGAAGAGTTTTTTGCTGCGGGAGGGGTTCGAGAAGTTTCTATGGATGTTTCACTGTTTCTCTGCAGTGAAAATTGGTCACCCTTCAAGTCCAACTGACTGAATTTAAGATATAGCCACAGCTACCTAATCTCAGTCTTTGACAAAACTATAAACATTTTACAACTTCATTTGTTTCAAATTTTTGACATTCAAAAATAGATTTTTAGGCCGAGTATACGCCTTTAAAGTTAAACAAGTACAGTGCAAACCTTGTGGATTCGAGCCACTGCATATATAATTGATTGGAGAGTTTGTTTGAGGAAACAATGCTAATAATAGTGCTCCAATACCTGCAGACCACAGCACTTGGGGGAGTCTCGAGGGGCTGCTGCTCAGATTGAGGGTTCCTCTCCGTGTGTGTGTGTGTGTGTGTGTGTGTGTGTGTGTGTCAGGGAGGGGTGGTGGTGGTGGTGGTTGTCAGTGTGCTTGGTCAGAATGCTGGCGATGTACTTTCACAGAGTTTCAGAGTCGCACTGATCGATAAATGCTTTAAATAGTGACACAAATACCTGCACACAGCATTAATCTCAATAGCTGGATCCTATTTAAGAAGGAAGCATTTTGCTGAATATAGATTACCTGGATGGCAACCACACAGAGGCACAGTAAGTGGTTAGAGAGGCCCAAACGCCGCGTTAATTAGCAATTACTCAGGAGGGAAATCCAGACCACAAACACACAGAAACACACACATAAAGTTGTATTGAGGTTTTTCCAGACACTGGCCCATATTTTGGTTTTATTTAGTTTTAGATCACTTTATTCATCTCCAGAAGGTAAACTATAGTTTGGTTGCCCATGCAGCCACCATAGTAGTAACACTAACACACAAACTACCACTTTTTCCAAGTGGATATTAGTGTCTCTCAGGTGTTACAGCCCTTATCGAACTGTGTATTTAATACAGTTGATCAGTCAAGAAATAAAGGACGACCATAAGGGATACACCTGAAACAGGCAAGTATTGGGTGTTATTTAAATGTTTCAAGGGTTGACCGACTTTCAGGCCAAATGTTTGTTTCAACGTGATGTCACAGGAATTTGATAAATGACCACAACCTCTTAAGGGCATTACTTGTTGGTGGCACGGAAACAATGGCAGTAGTAAGTCAATTAGGGTCCTGTTAAAGTATGTGCCACCACCACAGAAACAATATAACGTTAGGTTTGGCCAACAAAAACCAACGTTTGGTTTAGACAACAAAACCACTTAGTTAGTTTCAGGAAAACATCATGGTTGGTCCTAGAAATAATTAGTTTCAGGCAACAAAAATAACGTTAGGGTTTAAGCAACTAGTTAGGTTTAGGAAAAACATCAAGGTTGGGCTTAAAATACGTACGGAAACTAAGTAACGACGTCACAAACGTAACTTTACCATAACTCAACAACACTTTGGTATGTGACCACTATCCTGTTTTAAAGTCCTGTGTTTGATCCGTCCACCTCCCCTCTCTCCCTCCATCCCGCCACCATAACTACTCTTTCTCACTGTTTGTACTAAATCAGTAGCTCTGAGCGTTGCCCATTCGTGTGGATGCGTTTAATTTTTGTGTCCGCCACGACAAAGGAGCCTAATTGATTTTCCATGGACATTGTTTCCGTGCTGCAATCAGTGCTGTTCGGAGCTTGTGGTCAGTTCACGTATTTCTGTGACCTCAGACTGGTGTATTTTGTCAAAGACTTTAATTTATAATACCTGCAATACAAGGTATTATAATTAATACCTGCAAAAAAAGGTATTATTATACCTGCATTATAATACCTGCAAATACCTGCAAACCTTAGCATGCTACATGCTAAATGAAGATTGCAAACATAGTAAACATTATTTGCTACAATGTCAATGATAGCATGTGAGCGTGTTGATGTTAGCATTTAGTTTAGCGACAGATTTACAAAGACGCTGGCATGGTTGTCGACTCCTAACACCTTACACCCTGATGCTGCTCATATATCTGCTTCCCTAAGGATTGTGGGTTAGACTAGCCAGAAAAGCATGCTGGCTTGGATACTGCAAAATGGGACCTGATATAATATTTGACATATGTGTTGGGACTTACAAAATCTTTTTCTTGCACACTAAATAGTATGGTAGAATGGTATTGGAACGCATAGTCAATTTCACATGAATACAAACTCACAGATATGATGAGGAAACAGTTACAACCTGCAGGTTTTTTTAGAATGAGAATTGGTGATGCTTCCTCCTGTTTTAAGGTCGATAATCAATTTATTTCTCTTATAATCTGATGGTTAAGTTTTTCACCTGTCTTCGGGACAAACCAGGGGTTTGTTGACCTACACTAACTAAACTCCGCGCGTGTCTGAGTGTGTGCGCGCAGCCTCCATGGGATTTGTGTCCATGCCTCAGGGCGTGTGTAGTGGACAGCTTGCGGGTGGATTGATACAGTGACGTCAGCGCGCCGCTACCTCTCCCCGAGGGCAGGATTAGTCGGGAGCAGCAGAGACAGCGCTCCGGTAATCTCCCGGTAATAAATGGGGGGAGACGGGCACGTTCGGAACTGCCGGTACCAAGTGACACCGCAGGCCCCCTGAGACTCCCGAGATTAGACTCCTGCATTTGAGGCATGATGGGTCGCTTCGTGACACCGCAGCAAACCGACGCGGCCCGGGCAGGTAAACGCACCAGGTAAGCTGTGGAGACGAAGGGTGAACTGGTCTCAGGAGGATTTATCTCGGCAGGGTGTTTGTTCACTGGCGGCATTGATTGTCAGCAACTGCTGCTGTTATATTTGTGTCTGCACTACATGTGCGTGGAAGTTGCATTTGGGAGATTATTGGGTATTTGTTGACAACTCTCCAGTCCGTGCAAGGTTTTTTTTTTTTTGATAAAAGACGCCAAGTTTAAGTGTTGGTAAATGTTCTTTTCTCAAATGCAAAAGCTGGTTTGGCTTCACACACACAAACACCACAGAGTAGAGGTTCATTCAGTGTCGGCTACTTGTAGGTACCAGTGATGCAGTGGAGGATCGCGAACCTACGTGAACTCGGTTCTTCTGTTGTTGACCGACCTACAGACTGATGTAGCCTGGTTAAATGTATCTAACGTTGCCAAATGTATAGAAAAAAAAAACCATTAACGGAATCAATAATTAGAAATAAAATGTAAACTCGTCTATACTGCTGGTTTAAAGTTAATATGTTTATATTTTGTGATTGGAGAACATTCCCCCTAACACCCAAGTTAGTGGGACACATTATGAAGCGAAACACTAAAGTAATTTGTGTTTGATCAGCCTCTGAATGTCGAAGCGGATGTTAGGCTCTATTTCTTGACCGACTTACTCTGTTTGTCATGCTATTGTACAGGGAAGCCAGTATATATACCTCCAGTGTTCAATGTGCACGTCTTTTTACGCACAAGACCTAATTATTGCAATAATTGCATTTAATATAACCTTTGATCTTGTTCCATTTCTCTCTTTCAAGGACAGAAAAGGAGGACACAAGAGGAAGTATAATGACAGTCATAAAGGCGACCTAGTATGTTGCCTACCTCTGGGCATTTATGGTTTGGTTGTCACCTACTTAGCACCTGCCTCCAAATCACCAGATAACACCCATTATGAACAGGTTATAAGGGCTGATGGATACTAAAACCGACAGACCAATTTGTAACCACCTTGTTACTTTTACTGCTACCGGTTTTTATTGTAAATTCTCTGGAGCCTATTTTACGGATCGGTGTGAGTAAAGGTCCAATAACCTGTGAAGATCAGTGCCCGTTTCCTCCGCTGTCACCCCGCTGTGATAAGGGATGCAGCTCCTGAAGTTTATTTATTACAGTGGGTTATCCAAATGTATGCGGCGTTTCTGCTCAGTGAGAGGGAGAGGGAGAGTCTTTGCACATGAAAACGGCATCAAATGCTCAGTGAAAAGAGACAAAATGTACAAAGAAAGTTTAGGTTCTGCACCACTTGGGTGGAACAGTGCAGGTATTTTGGCGGTGTGTGTGTGTTTGTTTGTGTGTAGGCGGTGCGCTGACTCGGGAGAGAGGGGGGAGAGGGGGGGTGGGGTTGCACTACGCGAGAGAGTGTGAGACAGTCAGTGCTGGTTGGAAATATACGAGGCGGATGTTTCTCATGAGCAGCAGACACACAGCCGTGCGTCTTTGCGCTCAGAGATCATATAGTCCAGATCCACTCATCGCGTCTTTCTCTTGTTTCTTTTTCTTTTTTTCTTTCCCCACAGCAGCCTCACCTGTGAAGCTACAGCGGAGGACAGCAGAGCTCCTCAGCGGACACTTTGCTGACTGACAACCACCGGGACGGACGGACAGACGGACAACTCAGTGTACTTTTACCATGGAGGACAGCCGGGAAGATTAACTTGCAGCAGCCTACAGTATCCGCAACCAGACTGTCTTCGAGGAGAGCGGTCTTCGCAATGATCCGTTAAAATTCCTTCCGCCAATGCTTTCTTTGGAGAGTGGATAGACCATCTCCTAAGAACAGAGGAGACGAGCAGAGAGGCCTTTTGTTCGTTTATTTCAGTCCTCAGATGGACCGAGTGCCCTCGGCACTGGCCGCTAAGATGCGCTGGATCACGCTGGTGCTTGCCGGCTTGACTTTCTGGGGCAAAGTGACTATTTGTAACTGTTTCGACTACGAGGAGCCAGACTATGATTACTATGAGGAGGAGCGAGCGGAGACCATTGACTACAAAGACCCGTGCAAAGCTGGTGAGTCCTTTATTTACTCAGTTTTAGTTTGTAATCATAACGGTGAAAATAAGTAATTTTACGCGTCTGGTTGCGTTGATCCAACTGCTCTAGCGCGCTGGCTCTGAGGTGGGACGTGTATGAGAAATGACAGCGTGTGTGTGTTTTCATGTGTGTGTGCACACTGGTCCAGATACCCCCTTTTACCCACGTTTTACCCACGTTAAACCCACGTTTATCGTTATGATCACTCGGTGGTGCCACGTGCAGGTCGGCGACGGTCCTGCTAAGCCGGTGTCCTCCTGAAATACACGCGCGCACATTCGGTGCGTGCATTAAGTGTAGGCAGAATTTGGGTTCCTATTGTGCCCGAAATGTTGTTGATACAATATATGCATGTGCACCAAGTACACCGCTGTGTGTGTTTGCGCGTGCATCCAGACCATCAAGGAAGATGAGAAACAGCTGGACTCAACTGTACCAAAATGCCTGCGCTGATGCAGGCTCTCTCTCTCCTTTTCACACAACGGCACACACACGCACACGCACACACAATTTTTGTTGGACCTTTAATGACGGTCTTGGAGCTGCTGTGGAACAACAGTGAAACCATGTTTGGTCTCGTAAAATAGGCAGTAGATGTGTGTATATAATGAAAGAAAGAGCACGTATACAAATTGATCATACACTCATTTTTAAATTATGTCAACAAATTATTGTCCCTGATTTAATGCAAGGTGTATACATTAAAAATGCAAGTTAATAGGTGTCATGCCTGGTATCTATATGTGCTCCACCCATGTGAACTGGATATTAAGCTTTCGTGCAATCCCAGTTTTAAACTAAGGTCTCTGTCTTTCCTTCCTTCTTTCTTTTACAATATGTATTTGTTGGTGTCTAGCCTATCTACCTATTGTGGTATTCATGATTTAAAATGGTGTATTAAATATGATACCCGAGTTTCAGTAATGATGCTGGCAAGGTAGTTTTTGTCCAATATCATAGGTAAGTTCGTTGCATTTATATTTATTTCTTTGCATTTATAGTTACATTTGTTTCCCTATTTCACAAAATATGCTACAATACACGTAAGCAGTCATACAACTTTCCAGATGTAGGAGATATTATCAAAAATATGTAAACAAGACTAAAACCTCAACAAGCAAGTATCAAGGCTAAATTGCCAGTCCTAAATCTGCCTTAATCTTGCACTTATGTTCTTGTGTGTTTCGGTGTACGGACGTGTGTCAGTTATCTTTTAACATGAAGAACACTCTGTTCACCACTCTTTGTCCAGACCATGTAGCAAAGCTCAGTAAGGATTGACCAGTGAGGATTATTGTTGCATGTTAACTCTACAGTACACAGATCATTCCTACGGAGCAGGTGGAGGAATCGGAAGATACAGTGGGTACGGAAAGTATTCAGACCCCTTTAAATTTTTCACTTTGTTTCATTGCAGCCATTTGCTAAAATCAAAAAAGTTCATTTTATTTCTCATTAATGTACACTCAGCACCCCATCTTGACAGAAAAAAACAGAAATGTAGAAATTTTTGCAAATTTATTAAAAAAGAAAAACTGAAATATCACATGGTCATAAGTATTCAGACCCTTTGCTCAGTATTGAGTAGAAGCACCCTTTTGAGCTAGTACAGCCATGAGTCTTCTTGGGAATGATGCAACAAGTTTTTCCACACCTGGATTTGGGGATCCTCTGCCATTCTTCCTTGCAGATCCTCTCCAGTTCCGTCAGGTTGGATGGTGAACGTTGGTGGACAGCCATTTTCAGGTCTCTCCAGAGATGCTCAATTGGGTTTAGGTCAGGGCTCTGGCTGGGCCAGTCAAGAATGGTCACAGAGTTGTTCCGAAGCCACTCCTTTGTTATTTTAGCTGTATGCTTAGGGTCATTGTCTTGTTGGAAGGTGAACCTTCGGCCCAGTCTGAGGTCCACAGCACTCTGGAAGAGGTTTTCTTCCAGGATATCTCTGTACTTGGCCGCATTCATCTTTCCTTCAATTGCAACCAGTCGTCCTGTCCCTGCAGCTGAAAAACACCGCCATAGCGTGATGCTGCCACCACCATGCTTCACTGTTGGGATTGTATTGGGCAGGTGATGAGCAGTGCCTGGTTTTCTCCACACATACCGCTTAGAATTAACGCCAAAAAGTTCAATCTTGGTCTCATCAGACCAGAGAATCTCATTTCTCATAGTCTGGGAGTCCTTCATGTGTTTTTTGGCAAACTCTATGCGGGCTTTCATATGTCTTGCACTGAGGAGAGGCTTCCGTCGGGCCACTCTGCCATAAAACCCCGACTGGTGGAGGGCTGCAGTGATAGTTGACTTTGTGGAACTTTCTCCCATCTCCCTACTGCATCTCTGGAGCTCAGCCACAGTGATATTTGGGTTCTTCTTTACCTCTCTCACCAAGGCTCTTCTTCCACGATTGCTCAGTTTGGCTGGACGGCCAGGTCTAGGAAGAGTTCTGGTCGTCCCAAACTTCTTCCATTTAAGGATTATGGAGGCCACTGTGCTCTTAGGAACCTTGAGTGCTGCAGAAATTCTTTTGTAACCTTGGCCAGATCTGTGCCTTGCCACAATTCTGTCTCTGAGCTCCTTGGGCAGTTCCTTCGACCTCATGATTCTCATTTGCTCTGACATGCACTGTGAGCTGTAAGGTCTTATATAGACAGGTGTGTGCCTTTCCTAATCAAGTCCAATCAGTTTAATTAAACACAGCTGGACTCCAATGAAGGAGTAGAACCATCTCAAGGAGGATCAGAAGAAATGGACAGCATGTGAGTTAAATATGAGTGTCACAGCAAAGGGTCTGAATACTTATGACCATGTGATATTTCAGTTTTTCTTTTTCTTTTTTTTTTTTTTCTGTCAAGATGGGGTGCTGAGTGTACATTAATGAGAAATAAAATTAACTTTTTTGATTTTAGCAAATGGCTGCAATGAAACAAAGAGTGAAAAATTTAAAGGGGTCTGAATACTTTCCGTACCCACTGTACCTGAGAGATGTTGCTGTGTTGTGTCTTCTTCTTTTTCTAGATGTTTGCTTTGGTTACACCTGTCTGACTGTGTGTGTATATGCAGATGTGTTTGTGCACACAAATATGTTCAAATGTGTTTTAATGGCACCTTTGAGGCCTTAATGTTGTCTGTGATGACACATTGGACCGATATGGACTCCACCCAGAACACTGAGTGTCCACACGCTGACAAACACACATTCCTCACATTCCAAATACACAAACCTGACAACCTGTGTGTGGGTGTGTGTCTGTGTGTCTATGTGCTTTTTCATGTGCATGTTACACTGTTCTCTCTGTGGGTGATTTAATGTTGATACTGCAGTCCCATGACTTTGTGGTTTTTAGTTATGCTGAGACCTGGCCGTGTGTTAGTGTTTGGATTGAAGCCCGGCAGGTTACAGGGAGACAGTCAGTCTACATATGTTTGAGTAACTCAGCGACTCTTGTAGACACAGGCAATGCTTTTATTTGCTGGAAATATCAGTGAACATAAAGAATGTATTCATACTTATACACTTCAATTTCTCACAGCAATTGCACACACACGAGTATCCCGTTTCCCCTGTAAACCTCAACTGATACCTGTTTCTTCCTATATAATCATGTGTGCATTTTGAAGGCATTTTTTTGCCTTCATTAGATATATGACAGTAGAGAGCAACCAATAATTCTGGGAAAGAGAGGTTAGAGGGTGAACGTGCGGAAAAGGTCCCTGTCTGGGAACATCACATTTACAAACATAGAACTCGCTTTATTCTGCTGGAGGGAAGTCCTTGTTTCTACAAATAACCAAGGGACAGTATGGACGTTTTCGGTATGTGTGTCAAATTTCAAAACTTTTATTCAAGCATTCTTAACTTTTATACCTGTTTCTGTACAATATTCACCAGTCATACACCTCAGGATAGCCGTAAATGTTTTGTTTAAGTTGAAATATTTTCAAATCAAGTGGTTATGTCTGCATGGCAATTAACACCAACTAAATTATATCAAATCTTCATCTGTTTGCATCCTTACATTAACTTTTTGTGCATCCGTGACATCTCTAATTTTTGTTTACCTAACATTCAGTTCATCTTCATTCACCTTCATCCTCCTCATATGTTCTCTTATATCGCGACAATCTTCAAATTTAATTGCATATAATCTAAATAGTTGGTTACTTGGTTAGCTGACTGACAGAAAAATAATCGTTTGACAAAATTATCTCACCTCAAGGTCCATTATGTAGCTTTCGGACAAATCACAGGGTCCCTATCTGGAGATTCAGTTTTCTTAATTTCCATGGAACAATGGATGCTCACATATATGCGCAACAGTTAAAATACGTTTTGGTTATTGAAAAATGTGACTACCGATTTCAAATCAAATTTTTTGGACAATCTGTTTTCTTACTTTTAGACTAGTCAACTAGACTAAGTTTGAACTACCGCTTAAACAGGGAATTAAGTCGTTCGGAACATCCCTAATACACAGATATGCACCTACAATGTGAGCACCAGGCGGAGTCGACACATGCGCATGCACATAAGACAATTGTTGGTTGCACCCCTAGAGTGGACCCATTTTGTTGTCAGTGTGTGAAGAGTTGGTGGCTGCGTGTTTCTGTGTGTGCAGCTTGTAAGAAGTGGAAGCGCGGCTCATTCCAGTTCTGACCCTGTGGCATCGGTCTGAGTGGTTGGTATTCCGCCTCCTGTTTTTGCTGGGAAAACACAAGGGGGAATATTTGGCTGTCTGCTTATCTCCTCCGAGTCCCGCGCTGGTAGACAGGAGAACACACACTTCCAGGCCTTTGTGAAGTGATTTCCCTATGCGAACACACATGCACACAGACGCACACACTCGATACACACACACGCAGAGCTCCCTCCATTCACCCGCGCTTATCTCTTCCTGGTTGTCTGCATCCTGCTACTCAGCTGGAGATGACACACACGCGCGCATGCACACACACACTCGTACGGACGTGCACAAGCTCCT